TACACGGACTTTTGTCATGTAAGACCTTATAACATAACACACACATATGGATCACAAGTTTGCAAAAACCTAACTTAACAGTCCACACCTTTATTCAGTTCACCTTCCTTTCTTCTCCTTAGTGTGGTGGAGTGAAGGCATGCATAGTATTTGAAGGCCTATAACTCTATCACTAAAACCAAAGTCTGAGTGTGTATACATGCGTGTGCGTGTGTGTGTGTGTGTGCGCGTGCGTGCGTGTATGTGTGTTCTGTGTGCCTGTGTGTGTGTGAGTGTGTGCATGTGCGTGCATGCATGCATGTGTGTGACTGTGAAGCCCGATACGGATTTGAACCCACGACCTCAGCACTGTGAGGTGGACATGTTAACCGGTCAAGTACTGTGCCACCCCGAAACAAATAATCCAAAATTAAAATTAGAAATTACATTTTTAAGTTAAATATTTGGAAATGTATTCTTTTGTTGAACAGTCTATGTTTATATTTGAGCATACAAGCCTAAATTAAAGCAATTGTTTGCACTTATAATGTCATTTTTTGTGCAACACTGAATACAATGAGTAAAAAGTAAGTCATGCAAGTAAGAGTTTACAAGGGCTTCTAAACCATTGAAAATAACCCTATTTATGGCCAGATACTGTGTCTGTAAAAAGACTGACATACATTTTAAACACAAGGTTAAAAGAATTAAGAAAATATATTTTTTAAATATTTCAATATTTTTCATTTATGGTGATGAATTTATTCAGTAAAAAATATTGTCATCACCCAATTGCTTAATATTTTTGCTTTTATTCTAAATTAATTTTTGTGGCCAAATATGTAATTTTCTAGTGTTTAGTACTGAAACCTTTTTCAACCACTGATACATTAATTGATTGAACATTTATTCCAAACATGCAAAAACAAAGAACAAAAGAAATGTGCAATATAAATCCTTTGTATTATACCCGACTGAAACCCAGTGTGCTGTGTACAAACTTGATCATATTACATTGGACTGAGTGAAAGTGTATGGGTTCACTTTGCTGTTACACAATGCCTCAACTTTCCGAACTGAACTGACAATTCATGTTACATAACCTTCAAAACCTGCGTGAAATCCAAACATTTACGACGATCTTGGATCACCCACTCAAAAGGTGTGTTCTAAAAAAAAAATAAACAGAGATATAACCGAGATAGTATGTGCTTTAAAGTTAATACAAAGCAATACAAACAACACCGATCCCCCTTACATTCCCATCACTGAGCCAAAAGCTTTGAAGTGGGGGGCCCCCACCAATCTTGACCCTCGCCTCAGTGATCCACATGGCAACTGTGACACACACACACACACACACACACACACACACACACACACACACACACACAGAAAAGTCAACAACAGAGCCCTTTGTTTTCCACTGCACTAAAGAACAGTGGCTTGTAAATGGGAAGAAAGGTAAGAAAGGCTGAGAGAGAAGTGTCATAAAATACATAGAAACAACACGGTAAACAGGTACTGGAACCCCCCCCCCCACACACACACACACACACATATATTGCATCTTCTGTGCCCTTCTCACAACCACACGCAGTCAGATAACTCAACCGAAGTCACACTGCTCCCCAGGGGCTGATGTATCCAGGTCAGGTTATCAGATCTGCGACCCACAGTGCCCCTCTCCCGAAGGGACGTCGCATTGTTTCGTCATCATTGTGCACGAGGGTTTCCCATGGAACAGGTATTGTGAGACGAGATGGGGAGAGTCCCAGCGCGCTCCTTTCAGCCGTTCAGTGACTTGGACGCTCAAGCGTTGTTTTGCCATTGAGGCCACCGCAACCTGCACGATTTGAACCCTGCTGCTAACAAAAACAGCAGCACCTCCCAAGACGTGTAGATATTGTCTCACATGGATGGAAGCATGGAGTCTTATCACATGTTGTAAATGAGCACCCTGTACAGTCTGACAGATGATCATACATACAAGCAGCTTACTATATTTCCTCAAATAGGCGCCATCCCTTTTTTGACACTGGGTGTGTCATCCACTTAAGAGAAATAAATGCCACCCTCAAATAGACACCTTCCTTTTCCCCATCAAATCAACAAAAGTAAAGCAAAACAGGTTATAATTTGAGATAATAGATGTTATTCACATGGACATAAGAGAATTTTGTTCAAATTCCGTTGCTAACCAAAACAACAGCGCTGAATGAGGCACACATTCTTTGAGGGGAAATAAAGTGCGTGGTCTTACCACATTTTGTTCATTTTCACTTGATGCTGACCCATTTGCAATTGAGTAAATAAATGATCCCCAGGCCACGATTTGTGGAAAAGAGCCAAAGACCTGTTGCAAACAGCGAAAATTAATGTTCCCCGTTAAAGGGTGTGGAATGGAGAAGCCACGAAAAACCCACCAAAAAAGCTACTTTTGTCTAAGTCTCTCAACTCACTTCAATTTTTTTTCTTGGCACTGAGATACCACCAGATGGTGCCAAAGAATTACTGATATTGCCTACTGCTAATTGCAGGGCTGTCCAGTACCTGTATGACTCTAGTCCTCCCGGATCAGAATCCAGCACGTTTTAGATGTCTCCCTCCTCCAACACACCTGATTCAAATGATCAAGATCGTTATCAGGCTTCTCAGAGCTTGTTGATGAGCTCATCATTGGCTTATTGCATTACAGCGATTGCTTTGCCCTAAGCACAAAAAAACAGCAAATATGCGAGTAGTCACTAATGAGTGTGGGTGACATTTTCTTTTGCTTTATGGTCAAACGAACAAAGTATTGTAAGTCAACCAATAAATGCTTCCCCCCAGTTGAGTCAATAAACAATCCCGTACACTATTTCTGAAAATTCGGTGTAAAAAAAAAAAAAAAGACACTCGTGACACCCCAATTTAGGATACAACAGCAAACCTCCGTGGACCATTATATTGAATTTGGTGGCATCTAGTGGTGAGAGTCTGGGGCTTCATGCCTCTGGGGGGGTCTCCCATGGCAAACAGGTCCTTAGTGAAGGATCAGACAAAGCAGAGGTAAATGAAAAATGTCCAATATAATATATTATAAAATGATATAAAATGAAAAAAAAAATATATATATATATATTTTTTTTAATGACTTAATTTTAATGTAATACAGATGATTGTTACACTCGAATCTGTCATCAAATGTGAATGCATGCAGAATATGCATACATGCATGTATGTATATATATGTATGTTAATTTCATGAATTGTAAAACGCTACCCTGCGATTGGCTGGCAACTAGACATCTGGGATAGGCTCCAGCATGCCCGTAACCCTTGTGAGGATAGGGAGATTAGAAAATGGATGAATGGCTACTGTATTTAAAATAATAATAATAATAATAATAATAATAATAATAAATTTAAAAACAACTGAGTGCTTTAGAGTATTGTGGCTATAGTTAGAATAATCCCATGAAGGGATGAAGTGCGCATTTAGATTGACAGATGGCCTCACTACTCAAATACCAGTACTTGCAACTGCTGCTTGACACGATCAAAGACATTTTCCAAGATGGAGAGTTTTCTGGAGGAAGGGTCCGAACATTTGGACATTTTGGGCTCAGGGTGGATAGGTAGCCCCGAAGGAGGGTGGTCCACGTGTCTGACTTTGGTGGAGCACATGTGCCTGGACCTGCTGGGACAAATGGACTTTCTGCTGGAGCACAGAGACACGTATGTCAGTGTGGCAGGCCCACTTTCTTCGGATGACTTCTACGTGTGGCTGTTTAATCACATCTGATCAAAAAATGCAGATTCATTGCAACACGCAATGCATATATACTGTAAATTATAGAGAGTGTCTTGTGAACTGCAATTTCTCCAACGTTTCAACAATTTTAGGATTGAATCGTCTGCACTAAAATGCAGTAAAAGTTGTTCTCAAGCTTCATCGTTCTCATGTGTTAGCTATCAAGGTGTTTGTTTTTTGTTTTTGGCATCGATAAAAATAGCTGTAATTTAAAGTACAAAAGATCTGAAGTAAAATGTCCCACCAAACAAATGCTTCCTGAGAGAGATTGTATATTAAAATATTGGAAACATTTTTAGACAAATAATAATAATAATAATGATTATAGTAAATGTGATGGATTAAGTTTTTGATACCTTGCCAAAATAAACGGAACATCCGGTCGCATGGTTTCTTGTAATCTTCCCTACAAGACAAAATACGATTATATTGCTCCTGTGCTCCATGTATATATTAAAAAAAAATACAAAGTCACATTATTTGCCAGTAATGTAGTTACATTCAGTTTGAAATAGCCATTCAATATTTTGTCTTTTTTAAATGTGAAGTTTAAAGTAGCATATGCAATATTCTGCACCATGGTTTCCGGTCGGGCAGTATACCTGGAACGCTCACAATTCCATGCCGCGTTAGTCGACTAGCTAGCAAACGAATGTTGTATTTTCAGTTGTTACGCAATGTAATTTCAAAGGTTGTGTGCTTATGTATGGGTTTCCACGTCACAAGAGCAGAGTGTCAGCATCTTGACGCTAGACAAGGTAAGAAGCCACTTTTGAACATCTTAAAATGGGGATAAAAAGGGCAAATTTCACTGTAAACAGTGGCCGACGAATCTATTTCGCTGATGAATAGAAACAACGGTCCCTAGGGAATGACACTTGGACCATAAAGCTTTTCAAAACAGTCTTAAATACACTTTTGTCTATAGTACTGATCATATGAGCATGTTAGCGTTATGAAGAGCGTTCTGGTATAACTAGTGAAATAACTACAATATGCTTGCAAGCAGATATTTAAAGGCCAGTGAAACGGCTAGCTGCAATGTAAATTACAGCGGAATGAAATGCAATTAATCCATTCGTGTCCCTTTAATAAACAGAAATAGCTCTGTATTTTAAAACAAATATTTAAGACATAATAGCAAATGAAATAATGTTTTTTTTTGTTTTGGATGAAATGCACAGAAGCTTGCTTGTACTTGAAATTTTGGCTTTGACTTGGACAAAGCAAAACATCTACAGAGGCATGGCTTGTAACTGGAAATATTCCCACTTTGGGGCGCTTGTAAAATCAGGATACCACTCACCTGTAAACACGATTTAACGTTATATCATCTTACTAGACTCCGTGCACTGATTGAATAGTTGGAGGTGAACCTCATCCACTTCGCCTTCAAAGAAACAGGCTCTTTGAATAACTAAACAACACAAACATTAAAACCATTGACATGCTAACCAGTCAACCACTGTGCGGCCACGAACATATATATAAAGTGTAAATAAAGTACTAAATTAATATGCTGTATGAAACGATTAGTAAAAAATACAAATCTATCAAATATTTTTGCTTTTAACTAAAATATCATTTTTGACTGCTCTTTTCATATAAACTTGTTTTAAATGTCACTTTCAATTGATAAATATATACAGGCCCTAACAGTCAAATAAAGTAAATGCCTCTGCTGATGTGCAGTTGATATTTCATTATGACGTCCTGATGCTGGCCCTTGCTTGCGTCTGCCTATCACAATGAGCGGCGTGGCGCTGGGCCTGGTGCTCGCATCTGTGTTCTTCCTGGCGCTTGCCCTCCTCCATCGCTATGGTGACCTGAAGAAGCAGCAGCCGATGGTCCTGCTGGGGACTCTGGCATCCTGGTACCTCTGCTTCCTCATCATCTTTGTCCTGCCCCTGGATGTCAGCACAGTATGTACATATATTCTTGAGTGTGTTCCAGTGAGGAGTTTCACATGCACTTCTCTTTTAGACCATCTACAAGCAGTGTCTGTTGGATAACACACATCATCCTTCCCCTGTTTCGCCAACAAGAATCTCTTATATGACGGAAAATGGCTCCAGTCTTTACCCAACTAAGAGGTAACGAAGCTACATGGTAGTCGTCTTCCACAGTACACTGCGTATACAGCCATCCATCCATTTTCGGCACCACTTGTTAGGGCCCCACTGATTAATTGGCTGGCCGATGAAATCAGACGATCATGGACCACGGACACCTGTGTGTGTGCCTGCGTGTGTGTGTGTGTGTGTGTGTGTGTATATATATATATATATATATATATATTTATGGTTTTTTTTGTTACAGTTCACCTCTGCTATTCACAGAGAATCGATGATGAATACCAGAATATTTCAAAACATCCACACACACATCTGTGAGACAAAAATACACAGATATTATAAAACAATTAAAAAAAAAAATGCATTCGAAAAAAAAATATATTAGTGATGGTGTGTGTTGACAGTGCACCAAGTGTGTGTGAAAAGCCATGGAGTTACATACCAGAGGGTGTGCTACCTGTCTTCTGGAGAGTTGTGTATTGGACCTCTCAGTTTCTCACCTGGTAAGATCCCGTGCGTATACACACACACACACACACACACACACACACACACACACACACACACACACACACACACACACACACACACACACATTCTAAAGAAGTAGATGGTCATAACCGTTGCTTTTTGCATACGTTTAGGTTGCTGCTGCCCTTCATGCAGTCGTATGCGCGGTCGGGCGCATTCTCCCTGGTGGGAAAGGTGAAAGCAGCAATTGTTGAGAATGCCATCTACTATGGCAGCTACCTGCTCATCTTCATCTTTTTGGTCATCTACGTCGTTGCACACCCGAAGTGGCGACTCACATGGTCAGTTCTCTGCCTCACTGTATTCTAGTCATGAAACTGAATGAACATTTCAGATCCCAATTATAGGAAGAAAAGAGGATCAGGTTTGTCAGTTTTATCACCAACTTTGCTATGACAAATATTATGAGAAGTCGATAAAAGAAAATGCAAACAAAAATTTTTTAAAAGTACAAAAATTGTACAGAAGAGTGAAAACAGATATCGGGCAAAAAATACAAAAATCCGAGACATATTTCAATATTAGAAGAGAAAAATGCAAAATTATAAAACAGATAATACAAAAATACTAGGAAAAATACAACAGTAACAGGCATCCATCCATTATCCATACCGCTTATCCTCATTAGGGTGTACTGGAGCCTATCCCAGCTGTCTTCGAGCGGTTTCAAAAATGTCGCGCTCACCTGTGTTCAGGACTGAGTTTCAGACCATCGGCATCACAGCTGCCAACACGTGGGGTCTTTTTCTGCTGGTGCTGTTGCTGGGCTATGGCCTGGTGGAAATCCCACGTTCCTATTGGCTGTCATCCTGCCATGCCCACTTATTGGCCAAGACTTACTTCAAGGTAGCAAAGATGGCCAGCGAAAAGGCGTCGGCCGAGGAGAACTTGGCCGATGTCATGGAGGTGAGGGTGTTGAAATGCTTCTACATATATTTTTTTAAAACAAATGAACGCACTTCATTATGTTTGCGCAACGAGCGTTTTTTCCAATGTCATCATCAGGAGGTGTCAGTCATCAATGTGTCAGTCAAGTACAACCACTCGCTCAGGAAGTGTGTGGACACCATTTTGACCAAGGTGAAGCGTTCAAGTACCCTATTTGCTCTTCTTTTGTTGTTAATATGCTAACATCATCTCACTTTAGTGTCCCATAGAGTACCAGCAGGAGATGGGCAACGACGCGGAACATTCCTGTAATGATCAGACCGTCCTTCCAACCAAAAGAGGCCTCGTTCAGCTTCATAAAAAAGTACACAAAGTGACTTCAGTGCAGTTCACATGTTAATAAGCAATCATCCTCAGAAATTACACAGAAAAAGCTGCCACAAAACACTAATTTTTTGACCAAAAAATTCCAAAACAAAAATATTAGGAGGAAAATTGCACAAATATTCAATATTTGATTAAAATTACAAATATTCCAACAATACAAAAATATTCTGGATCAAAATAGATACTAATGGGCACCCCTGCATTACACTATGCACAAACCCCCCAAATATTAGACCAAGGAAAATTGTCACCAAAAACTAATAACTTCACAAAAATAGTCCATTAGAAAAAAAATGAGAATATTAGGGGGAGAACTGTAAACATTTAACAATAATACAAAATACCGGTAGTAGAGGAAAAATGACAAAAACACAACATATTGAGCATACAACATCACAATATGAGGCAAAAAAATGTAAACATTAAACATACATTACCAATACCGTTGGACAAATATATGCCAAAATGTGACAAAGTAGTGTAGAAAAATATTAGAAAACAAAAAACAACATTACAATATATTCAACGAAATAAATAAATAGAAAAAAATATGAGGAACATTCATAAAGTATAACTGACTTGGTGAGCACATCTGTCTCACGGTTCTGAGGATTGTGGTTTGAATCGCGCCTCCTGCCCTCCTGTGTTGAGTTTGCATGTTATTTCTTGCATGAGTTTTCCAAGCACTCTGGCTTGGTCCCACATGCCAAGAACATGCATGTTAGAAGGCTAAATTGTCCATAGGTGGGAATGCTTGTTTTCCTCTACTGTACATGCCCTTCATTTGCTGAGCCATTAGCATTGGATGGTCAAAAGAGCATCCCATTTGGAACACTTAAGATTGGTCAATGATTTCTAAATACAGCAGATTTGTGAACAACATCAACTTAACCGAATTTGGACATCGGAGATTCACCCCCACCAACGGTGACAATGTGTGTTTTTCAGGTGATCTCTGCTGTGCAGCGGTGCCGTCAGAGTCGCGTTCAGTGGTTCATGTTGTTGGAGCGGATTTTCCATCTTGAAGATGCCGCTAAGAGCCGTGGCAACCCGATGTGCCACTTTGTGCGCAGCTTCGCCGCCACAGAGCGAGACGGCTGCATCCGAAGGTTTCTTTACACACCCAAAGTAGGTGAGTGAATGGGGAATTTTGTTCGACTATTTTGACTAATATTTGGGGACAAGGAGCACCACAGTCACCAATTACGTTTTGATGAAACAAACAGTCAAACACACATACAAAATGAGAGCACTGGCAAGGACTTCATGTAGGCCTCCAATGCATGCCCATATGGTCCACTTTTACTTCATGTATATATGTATAGATAATAATTCTTTTATTCAAAATAGATTTATTTTTAAAAATGGACGTACAGTATTTATTTTTCCCAATTTGGATTTTGCTTGGTGATGTTTGCCTACGTGTGTGTGCGTGTGTGTTGTCCAGAGTGGTACTGGGAGTGTGTGTTCCGTCAGGTGTTCTACAAGCTGCTGGCATTTCTGCTCTTCTTCCTGTCTGTGGCGGTGGTGTGGTCCGAGTGCACCTTCTTCAGCATGCGTCCCGTCCTCTCCCTCTTCGCCATTATTGTCCGTATGACTGAACAGCAACGCTACTATGTTTGTACTGAGGTTGGCACCTACTTGGTTGATTTTCAAATCTAAATTTCCCATTGACATCCATTTTCTTTGGAATCATTCACAACGTCGCCATTGAAATACTCATACAGGCAATGTTTAAAGTCACATTTTGTCATTATTAAGTGTAAGCAGTCCATATGTCCAGGGGGCTGAAAAGGATCAATAATATTATAATAATCTATCAGGGCGGCTCGGCAGCCCAGCGGTTAGTGTGTCGACCTCACAGTGCAGAGGTACCGGGTTCAATTCCAGCTCCGGCCTCCCCGTATGGAGTTTGCATGTTCTCCCCGGGCCTGCGTGGGTTTTCTCTGGGTACTCCAGTTTCCTCCCACATTCCAAAAACATGCATGGCTGATTGAACACTCTAAAATTGTCCCTAGGTGTGAGTGTGAGCACAGATGGTTGTTCATCTGTGTGTGCCCTGTGATTGGCTGGCAACCGTTTCAGGGTGTCCCCCCGCCTACTGCCCGAAGACAGCTGGGATAGGCTCCAGCACCCCCCGCGACCCTTGTGAGGATAAGCGGAGTGGAAAATGGATGGATTGATGTATGGATAATGGATCAGTTTATGGCATTGCCCTTTCAATGGGGAAAACAAATTTGAGATAAGAATGTGACCCAGGATTAGGGAAGAAGAATGCAACCCTGACAAGAAGAAGAAGAAGGGCTCGCTAGCATTCGATAGGTCGTCCATCAAACGGTTTACTAACTTCAGTAAATACCACATATAGGGTGTGTAAGGTGTCTGTGATTTTTTTTTCATATTTATGTTGATGTAATTGTAGATTACTCTTCTTGGAATATTTTGATTAAAGTGTTTCACAGTCATGTATTCTGAATTGTGGGAAAAAAATGCATAACTCATCTCTTTTGGAATGAGTCCACATTAAGACCTTCATTGACGGCCTTTTTTTGTCCATGTCCACCAGGCGGTGTGTTTCATCACCATCATCTTCCTGTGCGTTTGCGTTTACTCTACCGTGTTCCAGATCCGTGTATTCAACTACTACTACCTGGCGCCGCATCACCAGACAGACGCCTACAGCCTGCAGTTCAGCGGCATGTATGCACAGCACACTCATGGTCGCATTATGATATAAACCTGCACGCATGTAAGGTGTCACGTATCTTCTCTCAAGGTTGTTTTGTCGCCTGACTCCTCCCCTGTGCCTCAACTTCCTGGGTCTGATCCACATGGATCCCGCCGTATCCCAACAGGACCGATTACACACGTCCTATACATCTGTGGGTGGATTTACTGTCAGAATGCAGTCCCATTAAGTACATTGGTACCTTGACTTAGGAGCTGAATTTGTTCGGCGACAATGCTTGTAGATCAAATCACTTTGATTTCAAATCACTGTCCCCATTGAAATGAATCAAAATACCATTCATCTGTTCCACACCTCCAAAACCACTCCAAAGATTTTGCCGTTTGATTTTTAATAATAAAAATTGGTTTGTACATTATTGTACCGTACAAAAACATTCAGTCATAATGCAATGAAATTGTTAATTTGCGTAACGGCTAAAATTTTTGTTCCCTCGTGAAAGGCAAAACAATGCTGAAAATATCACAAATAAATACAAAATTATTTGAAAAAATCCTGAGTAATAAGGCAAGTCAAAGCCAAGCCGATTTCACAAACACCTTGCTCATGTTTTTCTATAATTTCAAGCTTTAGTTCAATGGTCTTGGTCTTCTATCCAGAACACTTTCTTCGGATCCAATCTTAGAAAATGGCAATTTAATGGCACAAAAGCCACAGAAAATGGCAACACAAAACACTACAGATACTTAACACGGCAAGTGCCAGCTAACTAATACAAACTGATGGCGGCTGATGTTGTGATTTTCTGGATAGCTGAATGACACTTGATAAACACATTTTTACTTGTAACACAAAGCAACAGAAAAAAACCCAAATGAGTGACAACTTGCAACTGTAAAAGTGGTACGTTGGGGTGCTTGTAAGTCAAGGTAGCACTGTATGTTATGACTGACACTCGCTTATTGTTATGTCTCTACTAGATCATGGGCTCCATGCATCTCTTGTCCTTCATATCCAACGGCTTCTACATCTACTACCCCGTGTTGGTATTGCTGCTCTGCTTTGCCACACTTTACAAGTAAGCTATTTACAAACTGTTGTTGTCTTTTTGTATCATGTATGCCTTAGGTAACGTTATGCATAAATTGGTGTGTATTCATGGAAAAATTAAGTGTACTTTAAACTTTGATGCGTATTGTACATAAAATGCTAAATAATTAACGGGAATTTGATGCGTTCATGTTCGTAGCCTTGGTTCTCGCTGTTTGAATCTGCTGGGCGTCCATCAATATGTCACCGATGACGACCTGAGCTTGGATCTGGTGGATGAGGGCAAGGAGCTTGTCAGGAGAGGTTGCCTTTGCGTTATCACTTCACCAGTTGCTTAAAATCATTGCCCGATTATGACTTCCGCTTTTTTTTCCCCTTAAGGCCATATTAATCATCCTGATATTTTGTTTTGCAGAAAGAAGAAAACGACAGAAAAGTATCGATGCAGCGAATGGAAGATTTGTTAGTATTTTCCATTGTACTGTACAGTACTTCTGACAATGACACGTTTATGAATTGTCCTTCACATGTTCACAGGAAGCCATAAAATCCAATGAGGTCGTTGAAGTTGGAAATTGTCTACATTTTTTGGGGGGAAATCTGCTCTAAAATCGTGAAAAACATGCATTTGCTTTTTCTTGATTTTTTTCTGGTGACATTAGGAGTGGTGAAATCATTTTAGTTTGTATTTTCGGAATCTATTCTCCATGATTTACCGCAAAAACAAAATCAGCAGTTTTGCTGTTTTGGTGCTTTGGCATGCTTACAAAAATTCAAATGGGCCTTTTTTTCATCAAATAATGCAGAATTTGCCCCACCAAAATCTGTGATTATGTAAGAACCATATTTTGGCCTCTCGATGCCCACGAGCTTTGGTTTGTGAGTTAAGGAGCTTCATTTCAAAAAATGTAGTACTTTGCCTCCATCGAAGGGCATCTATAGGAAAGTTTTCATCCTTTTGGCACTCTCACAAACGCATGAATTCTTGCCTATGGTGGCTGAACTCAGAACATGTGAAACATTTTTGTTTTTGCTGTGGTTCACTTCTTTTTATGCTTGTATGACATGACTAAACAAAAATATTTTCTTTCGTTCCTTTTACGCTTGCGAATCAAGAATTTAAAATCTTACGAGCTTTGCTTTTATATTTTACAAATCACTGCGGTTAACTTATGTTTGACAGGAGAAGAATGTTAACAAAAACTAGAATTGTTTAAACATTAATATTCAGTGTTTAACCTCATTATACACTTGTAAGACAAGAACAGAATCTCAATTGTTTATTTTCTTGACAAGCATGTTGGCAAAAAAAAAAACTTGTCATTTTTACATATTCAGTGGTTACCTATTCAAAGCGATTAACTTGTTTTTACATTTAGGAATGTTAAATATGACTTCGGGTTTTGTGATTTTGCTTTGTGCTGTCAGGCATGGAGAGAGCGATATGGAGGAACCCAAGGGGCCTCTGGGAGCAGAACTGGTTACACTGAAATTAAAGACGACCGGGAAACAGAAGTCAAGAAAAGCAGTGGGGACTCATGAAACATGTAGAATGAATTGGTACTCTTGCTAGAAGTTTCATGTAATATTATGTTGTCTTTGCAGTTATCTCTTTCGGTTGGCGCAAGTCAGACGAGCAGCAGAGGAGTTTACTGCACACCAGTGACGATGGATAATAAAATGTTTGCTTTAGAAGGGACTATTTGGTTTAACACTGAACAACCTTGTTGTCCAACTTGATCTTGGAACTATTTGCATAAGGAGGTCTACCCTGTGACTGTGAATCTTTGGTGATACTGTACAGTGTTTGACATCCAGAAGGCTGAAAGGGAAGAAAGGATGCTTGTGGTGTTTAACATTGGCTTTCTTTAAGAAGGTCTTAATGAAACTTCTCAGGAAAAATCTGAAAAACACCCATCTGAGTCTACGAAGTGGGAAAGATACGTTTGCCAAGAGCATTAATGCCATGTACTGTATTCTGACATGCTTTCCATTATGCACCCCTAGAAACTGTGACCATACATGAGTGATGTCCGTAGAGTGTCGTTTTTTTCTGCAAATGTTCATTTTTATGAGGAATTTCTTTGATAAGTTATTAAAGAATACAGATGTAACATTCACGTTTTTTGCGGGTTTTTCTTCCCGAATTTTTAAGTCATCATTTACAAGATTATCAAGTTGTGACACCCTCGAAGAGTTTCCCGTCGTAAAAAAAGGGGATCGTCCCTCCTCCCCCCAGACAATGACCATTTGTGCTGCGCTTTCGATCAGTTGTAAAAATAGGCGGTGCTCAGCAATATAAAAAGTTGTGCTGCCTTCATGATCCGTCGTAAAAAGAATTTAGTCACCAGGAAACGACACGATGCTTTGATAAACATTTGTGACACTCGATGCTTTGATAAAAATGCTGTCGTCAAATGTTTGGCGTAGTTGAGGTTATCTACAGTAAAATGAATGCTAACAAGTCTTTTTGCCTTACGTGTTCTTTGTAATTGGCAAAAATGCTATCGCCAATAATGTCAGTGGGTAGACAATTTTTGCAGCCTTACGCGTTCGTTGTGAAAAGGTCAAATGGCAGGTTAACGGTTTGATGTAATATCCCGGATGTCAAATCAGTTAAACGTTTTTTCCACATTTGAATACGTCGTCCGTCGGTGGATTATTTTAACAAGCGGAGTTTGTCACGTTTTGCCGTGCGAAGAGCAGCGCTTCGTTTTTAACGACAGCACCGGAACGCCGCACCTGCCGTCCCAGTCAACGGGGGTTGTAAACAGAAGTATGCTGCTATTCGTGTTTGACCATTAGCTCAAATTTCAATTTGAACACATCGTGATGCATCTTTGTTGTCAATTGGGTCAACGTTGCGACACTCTTGGATAAAATTAAAAGCCGTCGAATCGTCTTGCCGAGGCATTCCAGCTCCTGTCTTTGGATTTACCGGGTAAAATGATGCTAACCTCTTCGCAAGCTAACGTGTCAAAGGGAAGGAATGACTGAAAAAAGGGCAGCCGATAGATTGCTCGCAGAGTTAGGTTTAGCTTCGACCAATTTGAAGGAAACCGGCATCGCTAAGGTTTTTTTGGTTTGTAATGAAGTTTCTGCCATTGTCCGAGACCGAAGAATGCGTCACACGCCGCTTAGGTTTGATTTTAATGTGGCAGATTGGTGTTAAAAAGCATTGGCTATTCATAGCTGTGATTTCAGTAAGATTCCTCGGCTCATCTTTCCTGCTTGTCCGCTTTGATTTAATGCTGGTGTGTCTTGACATCAGAGACACCCATTGCCATTGCAAGCTGCAACCGCAATAATATACGTTAGCAATATGACAACTGAGCATTGTCCTCGTAAAGACGGCAGTTGTCCTAGATCTCGTTAGCTTGTGCAGGTGCAATCCAGTGTTGTTGAGCCAAACGTTAAAGTTCAAATGGAGAGAAAAAAAAAATCAAACGTAAAAAGTCATTAAGCAAAAACTCAACACAATAGAAATGATAACAATTCACCAAGTTCTATAAAGATATCCATAAAATAACATTTAAAGAAATGTAGATATCGGTGGGGTGAAACCACAAAAAATGTTTAATCGCATTATTGCATTATTATTTGTAAGGGTAACAAAATTATTGTAAAATCTCAATGTCATTTATTACACATGACAATTTCTGACATTTTCGGTACATTTTTAGCAAGGATCATGCAAGTTGACACACATGATTTTTTTTCAGGGTGCCAAATAAAATGATGTGACGGGCCGAATCTGGCCCCCGGGCCTTGAGTTTGACACCTGTGATTTAGAGTTTTCCGTTGACCTGACGTCAATGCATGTTTTTGGAATGTGGGAGGAAACTGGAGTACCCGGAGAAAACCCACGCAGACACGGGGACAACATGCAAACCCCACACAGGAAGGCCTGAGCCGGAATCGAACCCTGCACCTTTGCTCTGTGAGGCCAACGTGCTAACCAGTCGGCCAACGTGCTAACCAGTCGGCCAACGTGCCACCCGCCACAACGTTAGATTGACCAAATTCTATTTGTGTCAGTATGGTAGAATTTGAAAATGTTCTTTTTTTTTTCCTCCCACAGCAGAGTGATTTTATGGCTTGGAATAAATTAGAATAAGTTGATGAACCCTTTCTATGGTGTGTTTGTAGAGAAGCAATGGGTGGTCTGGTCAACGGGCGGCGTGGAGGAAGGTCTCCGCCTTTAATGATCGGCGCCCTGGTCGCGTGCATCCTGGTTCTGGGCTTCAACTACTGGGTGTCCAGCTCGCGTAACCTCGAGCTCCAGGTAGCCTCTTACCATTATATAGCGTGTGTAGCTTTGTTTTGATGCTAATTTCCTGTCTAATCATTTTTATTGGGTGGTAACAAGAATAAGCATTAGCACACGAGAGGGAGTGATGTTGTCCTCTCCACACCTCCACCTTACGAAATAATGTCTGTCATGTCATGTTATGCCAGGTTAACTTTTGTTCAAACTCGGAGCAGTGCATGCTGTGATTTCCACCGGCCGTATTTGAATGTTTGAAGCCTCGGTGAAGGTTTACGTGACGGCGTCATCTGATTGCCTCCCTGCGTGTCTTGGTGACAGACCAAGCTGTACGAACTGGAGGGCCAAGTGCGTCGCGGGGCGGCAGAGCGCGGCGCTGACGAGGTGAAAAAATCCGAGTTCCAGAAAGAGATCCACAGGCAGAAGGATCAAATTGGACTCCTCGAGAGTCAGTATAAGAACCAGCTGGAGGGGGCGCGGGACACCTGCATCCAGGAGAAGGTGCAGTAAATACAACAACTGAGTTCCTCGTCTTGAGGAATCTAAACTCACTTCGCGTTACACTGTCCTGCAGGCAACATTGCAGCAGAACATTTCCACCAGCACCAAAACCATACAAGAACTTAAAGGTAGCCATTTTAGTACTTTGCTTTAATAGTCGCCGTCCCCCTATATGTGCTTAACCTAATTCGAAAATTTTCTTCATGTGTGTCTGACTTCTTGTTTGTGGTGACTATCCCTGTACTTCCTCTGCCACTGTGGGTCATTTTGAAACTCTGCCTCGTGACAAGTGTCCAATGCCAGTTGATCCTGTGATCATTGTTCAGAGATATGGTTTGTTTTTGTCTCCATTTTCTCAATTTCAAGCCGTTTTTAAAAAAAAGTTGCACCCTTTGCTTTGCCAGGCCAACTGAATCAAATGAATGACGACCTGGTGAAGCTTCAGAAGGAGCTGCAGGCATGCCAGAGCAACGTCAAAACCCTCAACGACAAACTCACGTATGACATGTAAGAAACGCCGTCGAGTCGCGATCGGGTTTCTGCCACGCTTGCTGATGAGCTGATCATTTCGATCGGGTGCGTGGGAGGAGGGAAACATCGAAAATAGGCAGGATAGTGACCTGCGGGGAACAGACTCGGGAACTAGTGTCTTCATTGAATCTGACTGAAATGTGGGTAGAAGCCATACCTGGAAAGATACCCACGCAAATACTTTTCATTTTAAGGTGTGGGAATCAAAAATAGTTTTGCGTAAAATGGAAATAAAGTAAGCGATTCAAGCAGCAATGGACACTCTCTTGCACCCACTTTTTGCATCTCATATCCCCGCCTTCCATGGGGCCTCATTTGGCTGGATTCCCTTGAAGGAGTTTGAGCCCTGGAATTCACCATAATGGCTGCTTCCAACTAAAATGACCGACCTTCTCTTCACTTTCCGTCTGGTTGACACTTTTTCGTCTGTTCCATTATGAGCCACAAGTCTAAGCCTTCTTCTAATTATTGGCGAAAAAGGGCCTCATTTTTTTGGCCGCTCCACACAGTCATTTCCAACTGCCGGTCATGGATTCTTGAGATTTTTTTTCGTGCGTCCTGTTGTGATAGACGACTCCACCCTATTTCATGACGACTGATAAAACTTTCACTTTCAGGGGCACTACTGAATAAATTTTGAAGTGAGACAGCTCTAATTTATTCAATTCACACACATAAGAATGATATGCTATCATCAGTGGTCTTATGTTAACAGGTGTGTCATGTGTATGCGTGTGTAGGACACAATGTAACTCACAGATCCTGACCCAGAAGGAACTGTGTGACGAGCGAGTGGCCGCCGCCAAACTGGAAGTCCAGAAGAAGATGACCAAGCTCGCCAACATCCAGGTAACCCAAAGCTCTGATACGCCCGTTCCGTCTCAGCCCACCCTTTGAGTGACATCACGTCAAATGACTCACGAACCGCCGGCAGGATGAGAAGGCAGAGGACAATGGTGTCAAAGCGGAAGGCGAGACGACAAACGCGTCCCTGAAGGGCTCGGATGACTTGAGCCACTCCTCCAATCTCACGACGGCCAAAGCCGACGAGCGTTTTGCACCGTACGCCAACAACATATTCAAGGAGCGAGGTGAAAGCGCATTCCGTATGGTTCCTTCAATCGACAGCTCATTGATTATCTAACAAATTGATTATTTAAATATTCCATTCATCATAGAGAGGGCTGATTAACTTTGAATTTTCGAAATTTCAGACTCTCAACAGAAAATATGAAAGCAGACTGATTACACTGGGAAACAATTTGAAAACAAATATCGAGTTAGACTTTTCTGCCGATTACAACTCAAATTGGCATGCTGATTCCAAAATTGCAGTCTTTTTTCCAGTACGTCAAGTTTTGTTTTTTTTTTTTCTCCACAGCTTACCCACCAAAAAAACAAAATTCCACCGATTAGCTGTAGTCAGACTGTCGTAAGAAGACCTAATTACAGTTGGATTCATCTACAGCTATGCGGTAGTCACAACTGAGACAGTGCGGTGAGAGGTGTGTGCCGCTGCCAATAGGTCACCACTCTCAATATTTGCAAACAGAAAGCTCGCGTAGTAGGAATTAAGACGATTAGTGCTATTTGTTTTGTGTTTTTTGTTATTGTAAAGTGTCCTTGGTTGTCTTGAAAGGCGCTTATAAATAAAATGTATTATTATTATTATTATTTACATACTTTCACATCTATTTCATTTATTTTGTAGGAAAATGGAAATCCTATGAATCACAAACGTGACGTGATATAGAAAAAAAAATTTGATCAGTTTTGGCTGCAACCCAAAAAACAGCTGTCATGGTGGTGGCAGTGTGGG